CCCCAATTAAAAACGTACCTTCCCTAATTTGTAGAAAAATAGTTGAAGGCTAGTTTGAAGCTTCCTCAACAGGCAGCAATCTTATCGAGAATCTCGCTCAAAGACATGTCAGTCCCATATTCAAGATGCTTGGAAGTGATCGATAATTGTGAGAGCATTTTTGTGTCAGACATCGGAGGGGGGGGGGGAAATAACACGCATTGATCTTAAAGAATGTATACCACCTTGCTTCAGGAAATACTCGGAGTCATATCTTTGATTGAATTAGGCAAAAATAAATATATCTGTAACCCAATCTTACATTCTCCAGTGGCCTGATCACGGATGCATGTTACCCCACGCCTTCATCACGAAATCATGTTAATTTGAAAGCAAAAGTTATCAATAACCCGAAAGGCTTTTTTTTTTTTCACTGAAACAAAAATCGACAAATAAATATGATGATTGCAAAAAATTTCGTCTTGATTTATTTAAGTTAATTTTTCCCCTAAATCTCGTTAGGCAGAAAATAGTTCAGATTTTAAACACTATATAGTTTGACTTTCATGAAAGATAGCCCATGGTAGATCTATGCAAGGAGAGATTGTAATTGTAGGCGTTTATCGCATAGAGGACATCGAGGTACTAAATCTGACACCAGACCCGTATAACTTTGATTGCAATACGATTTAATCTGATATCAAACACGTCAAACTAAAACACAAACAAGAAAACCTAGTCTAAGCGACATTACAAGGAGCTAAACTAAAACCATAGTTATTACATCATAACAACACAAAGATCGAGCGCATAAACCCTAACAATAACCGATCAAATAATAAACGAAAACAACAAGGGGAGTGAAAAATACGCTTACCGATTGTCCACTCTGTACGCCTTATTAACCAGAAGTCGCAAATGATCGGAGATAACCTTATCGCAGATTACTCTACCGCACAAACTCCCATAAACTCTCCTTTTAGCAACAGCGCACGAGGCCACAACGCACGAGGTCGCGATAATATCTCACTAAAACTTAATATTTAACTTAACGACAGTTACAGAGATATCTTATCGCCTGTTAGAGAACAAAACGAAAACCAAAAGAAAAAATACTTGGTTAAAAAAGAAAGGAAATCCTTCAATTCAGTGTTATTTATATCATTGCTATGTTGTGTGAGTAAAGAAAAAACTTTGGTTGAAAAAGAAAGGAAAATCTTCAGTTCAGTGTTATTTATATCATTGTTATATTGTGTGTATAGTTTCTGACCCGCACTGTAATTCAGCTCTGCCTGCAAAAGTGTTGATTAAACATATTTATCCATCTATCTATTTTATTCTATTCTCTAAATATTATGGAGAAGTGTTTGCAAACTAGTCTGATAAGGTCTTTTTTCTCGATGAAGAGGAGGTGTTTCATTTAGGACTTTTCAGAAGCAAGCTCATTAAGAGTCTCTCTAAAAATGCTGTTCGCAAAGTAAATACAGTGGTATTTGATAACTTATGTCTCGTGAGGATTCTCATACCGGAAGAACCATAGCAGCCTCAAGAATGTTTATCACTTGATTAAGGAAACCGCAAAATTCGGAGTCATAACTTTGGTTGAATTGGATACAACAAAATGTTACTTCAGTCATCGGTGGCCCAAACATGAATACATGCCAATACCGCAAAATAGCCGCAAGGTGAAAGCAGAGGTTAACATAATCAGTCAGTTTCTTCATTGAAGCAAACTAATGTAATAATAATGCTAATAATAAGAGTGAATAATAATAACTTGGTGATATTCATTGTTTGATTTCTTTTATTTTGTTATTTCATTTTTTACATTAAATTAAGCTCTTTAAAAGGAAAGAAATTCAGATTTTAACTTCATTTGACGTTAACCTCTTTAGGAAATACCCTGAGGATAAGAGCCAAGGTATGTTGGGGTAGTATAAAATAACAACAAATCGAGTTTGAGCTAATGCAGATTATAGACGAAAGATAAAAGGCCCACTGTGACGCAGGAAATTACAATAGCGGGGGTCAAAACAGGGCATTTTTACAATAAAATCTGATTTCCCTTGCACGATTTCCGATTTCCTGTCGCACGAATACAAGACACCGCGTATCAGTATTACGAAATTACCGTTAGATGAGAGCAGGTGTTTTGAATAACCCCAAAGTTACTTCACAGGGGCAAAAAAATAAATGAATAAAGTAAAAAGATCATTTCAAAACATACATCCGGTGATTCTATCAGGGGTACTTTGTTCTAGAAAACACGTCATAAATAAGATAATCATTACTTCAATGTTATTGACCTCTTTAGAAAATATGCTGTAGACACCGTCACATTCCAAGGTAAATGACACACAAATCGAATACAGTTATTGTGATATTTAAGCTTTGTTCTTCTTCAAAATCTTCTGCAACAGAATCATATCTAAAGAGCGAGTCTACTCTCCATAGGACTCAGGGTTAGTCTGGAACAATTCGCTCTCCGTAGGCATGACGCAATGTTTGTTATTAAAAGCCTATATGACAATGGCACTACGTGTAAACAATGACTTACCAGAGGTGACAGCAGGCTTCTCTGGTGTGGGTGTATTGTCATGAAACCGTAACTTCTTTTCCACAATTTTCACTACGTTTGTTTTGAGGTTAACGTCAATCCGCTGAATACGGTTTTTAAGTGCTCTCGAATTTTTGTACACAAATTCGAATCTCACAAACAGTAGTGACACGATAGCCAACGAAATCACAGATATCGCCAAGGACGTTCTGCTCATCTTGTCACATGATTTTGTGTCACTGTTTTTGTTCGCAGCCATTTCAATTCGTTCGAGAGGACTGAGGTGGCACAATAACATAAGTTAAGGGTAAATTACCCTTTCGACACCTGTTCAGGGTACCTTTCTAGTCCAGAGTATCACTGACGCAGTCGTCAAACTAGACAGATTAAGGAATACAACGCATTTTCCCGGGCTTTATAATATCATTAACAGCCACGGGGCATGGTGGGAAACTACAAATATAGCTTGAGAATCACGAGCCACAAGGCAAGCTTTTCGCGTTTTCTTTCGTCGTCTTAAATGACTTTATCACGTTATGAAATCCGGGAAATGAGTTATTATTGCTTTAATGCATATTTGTACATGGGATATAGCCAACTGTACAGTAAATTTATCACCCATTTTATGATCGAGTCGCTTATTCTCAATTAACCCGTCAAAACATGAGTAACCAATCACGATGCTCGAACGAATATAAACAACCAGCGAGAACGAAAACGACTGGATCGATATATGAAATGGTCGCCATTATTCACGCAGAAATCATAGAAAAACTAAAGAGAAGTGACAGTAAACAAAACAACGGCATGAACTAAAATTTAATACTGTGTGCTGTTTAAATTTGGACGAGGAAGCTTTAACTTCGGGGCAAAATAGCACTGGTAATGCAACAGTGAAGTAAAACATACGGAACGTTTGCAAACCCGAACCGTACGTTGGTTTTTCTATGATAAGAAAGGTTATTTTAGCTTGATTCCTAACTTTACGAACTTCTAAATACCCAGTGCACTGTAAAAAATGGAGAGCAGCAAAAATCAAAATACAGCAACTAAACCGTGTACTTAGTATAAAGGGGTATACGTTATCTAGTTCCCCCCCTCCCCTTTCAAGGCAGCGTGGCTTTATCAACTAAGTTTGTGGCGTGAATAGGCCACGGTCTAATTATTCGGGTACCAAGTACCTAGTGACCGGTTGTTTTTTACTTTAGTGACCCAGAGGACGTGACAGGTTCTTCTCTAATCGGAAAACGTTTTTGCCGTTGTACCTCAAACTGTGCATCCGGTTGATCTTCCCAACCTTGTTATGGCATATTTTAAAAGTAGTTTTGTCTGACCGTACGCTAGCATTATAAGATAGCGAACTTGTTGTTGTTTGCGTGGATTTGGAGAAATAAGTTGATCCTTTCTGGTCAGGCAGACTGTATGTGATTATCGTGACCCTTACAATAAAATTTGTTGCGTCCGTTACCTGTTCGTTCCGTTTGGGTTTTCAATATGGGGTGTTTGATTCCTAACAGAGCTTCCACGAGAAGGAAGCTTAGAAACTTCTAATCGTTTAAATTTAAGGCTTGTATTTTCGGGTCGAGAGTTCATGAATTGTTTATGTTTTATCTTGGGCTTCTTGGTTTAACATGATTGTTTCAATCACTTGTTTTCGATAAGAGAAACTGAGTATATTTTCAGATTTTGACGCTTTTTGGTGAGTGAGCCGAGAATTAAGATATCTT